GACTTAAAAACCTTAATTTGAAATCAATGCTCTAAGTTTAAATCTCAGTGATAGCAAGTAACTTAAAACTATATGAGATGGTAAGTTAACTATGGCTTAACAAGATAGAGAGCTAAGTCAAGCAGTCTTGCATTTAAGTTCGGAAACAATATCGCGGAGGAGCCAGTCAGCCATGTACTTGTAAGCTTGTTGTGTGGAATGAATTCCATCCCAACTCAAATGTTGATTTGGATTGGCACACACCGGCACACCTGAAGCTCCACACATGCTCATGATACTGAAGTTATAATCGCCTCCATTCCCACAACAGGATTTTTGAACTGATTCAGCATCAAAACCTTCAAAAATAGAAGAAACTCTATGTATAAGAACAACATCCAGTATGTTAAGAAAGAAAGGATCAATTTTTAGGCATAAGGAGAGGAGAGACTCACCAAGCCGTTCAGCATTGCGCACAATCCATAGGTATGCATTGAAGTAGTCACCATATACCACAACCACATTGGGGTTTTCTTTTCTAAGATCCTTAATTGCTTGCTGAAGAATGTTATTGTGATACGTCGACACATCATTCAAGCTCTTCAAGCAGTGAAGTTCATCATAAGCAGAACTGTTTTTAGTTTTGTAACTGGTGAGATAAATGGGTATACAACCTATAGGAAAGTTCCCAGGAACAACCACACGAGTTGCGCCAAATCCAATAACTCTCTGCAATAAAAAGTAAGTGATTAGAACTAGATTAAGATGCCTAAAAGTCAATCATGAGCATATAGTTTTGAGGAACACTGGCTTACAGAAACCGCAGTTTTTATGGCTTGGACAATCTCCGGCACCATAGCCTTTATCTGTGCAATTGTCTTGCCTTCTAAGAAGGCATAGTTATAGTCATTCCCTCCAATCTCCCCAACCAAGAAGAGAGCTGTCTTAAGCTTTTCCGAACATTTATCTATGTAACAAATATAGCACACACAAAAACAATGCTTGTTGAGCTTAATTACACTCCAGAAGGAACAATTCATGTAAGGTAATTAGATGGAAATGCTAATAATTAGGTACCTTTGTCACCGGAACATAAAGCACGAAAATAAGTTTCCATCCAATCAAGTTGTTCAGAAAGAGAGGTCACAGTAAGTGGGTTTAAAATTCCTTTAGTTGCCAGAACTCTGGCAGACAAGGCAGTCGAACCAGCAACCGCAAAATTCACACCATTAGCTGCGGCATTTGAGGCCCCTTTCTTTATCTTCAAGTAAGGTTCCAGGAAAGGAATGCCTGCAGATTGTGCTGTAAAAGAAGAAAGATTATGAACATTTTACATGCAGACAGGATACAAGGAAAGATATTAAAAAGAGGTGATTCATTTCATTCTTACCAAAAAAATCTATCATGAGCAAGCCATCGGAGCATCTACCCGTGGGTTTTCCATTCCCGTAGGATTGACCATAGGGAGGCTTAGCATACACAGAGGAAGGATTCTCTCGAATAAGATTGCCAGTATCAGATATGGAATCTCCCAGCTGATATATTGCATCAAACTCGCAAGGGTGCAGAATTTGTGCGTTGCAGAGAAGGATGCAGCTGCTGAGTGCGAAAACAAGGTAACACGCAACTTTGGAGGGAGCCATTGCTGGATGGAATGGCTGTTTGCTTTGTAGAATGAACATTAAAGATGGAGGAGTTTGTGTGTGGGCCATTAATAGCTTTCTCACCTTCTCGAAGGGAAACGAAATTAAGAAAATGTGGATCAGTGGCAAAACCGACGGTGACCCTTGTTTTGGGTGCACAGATGGTGCTCATTTCAGGAGCGGCAGAGCAATGTCATCCATTGTTTCAGGCATTTCATCAAACACATCAATTGACGAAATTTCTGAACGTTATCTTTGAAAAAATTTTGAAGAATAATGTTATTCAAAAAATGTTTTGTTACATTTATGGTTTTTGAAAATTTTGAACGTCACATTTAATTATGCACCCTTTCCGTTTTCAAATGAAATATTAATGTGATTTAGCTTCATTTTCATAATAATAATAATAATTATAACATGTAATCTACGTTAAAGGCATAGTGGCATTGCCACTAGTCATGTGGAATTCATTTAGTAATACTGTGTTCAAGCTCCACCAACTTCTCAATTCTCCCTCTCTCTAGTAGTAACAAATTACTTATTTTCAAAAAAAAAAAATGTCATAATAGAGTGGTAGCGGAACCATGCATATGCTCTATGGTTGGGCATGGGCTCTACCTTATCATGGTCACAGAAAAATAAAAAATAAAGAGTTAAATTAAGATTTTAGAAAAATAAAATTGGAGAGTTATCATTTATTGTATAACTTAAAATAAAAAAAAGTTAAACCTCTTATCTAAATCTTTTATGAGGTAAAAAATATAAAGAAAACTGAAGCCCAAAATTTAAAAAAAAAAATGCCCTAACTTTACACTTCTCGAGAGAGTTTAAATTTCTTAGCATTTTCAAAACTTACAAAAGAATAATGATAAGAAAGACGAAAAAACGAGATGATTTGATGGGACGACTGTGAAATGGTATGTCACTTTAGTAAAATTACTTGATTTAAATTTTTAAAAAATTTATATATTAATGATATGGCTTGTCATATCATTCGTCTCATAATTTCGTTCTCTTTATTCGTCCACTATATCATTGCCCCTTACAAAATCATATAGCATTAAATATATATTAACTTCATAAATTATAGAGTGTGAAACAGTCAATCAAATTAACAGCTATATTACTGTCTGACACCCTTTTATAAAATCTTGGTGTTTCAGTAGAATTTTAATAAAATTTTTCCCATTAAAAATAATTATTATTATAAAAAGGACCTAAATGAAAAATTAAAAAGGTTTAAGGACAATCGATACCGTTATTCCAATAGCGGTACTTCCAATTCCCAAATAACGCGCTTGTCCCTTCCTTTCTTTAAATTAATTAAAACCGTTCCGCTCCCGC